TTAGGAATTAGGGTTTAGGTTTTAGGTTCTAGGGTTTAGGGTTTAGGGTTTAGGGTTTAGGGTTTAGGGATCAAAGACTCGGGTGCAGGTGCGGGCTCGGCGGCTTGAAGTTGGATCTGAAAGGGGGAAAGCCGTATAAGACAATCGGGTGTCATACCGCTGATGGAAACATCCTACATCAGCCTAAATGCCTCAAACTGCGGGAAGTATGGCAAGTATGGCAAGCTTCCTGATTATGAGTAACTCAAATGGCACCTTTGCAAGACCATATACCGTCTTTCCAAACCCTATCACCAGTCGAAAAACCGATGGTTGATTTCTGCAGGCAGGTGTGGGTTTGGCAAGACGAGTGGAGAGGGGCTTACTGTAGGGGCCTTAATAATAAGAATAGGGTGTTGGGCCCCCAAACACTAAACCCAAAAACCCAAAACCCAAAAACCCAAAACCCTAAACCCCAAACCCTGAACCCTAAACCCTAAACCCTAAACCCTAAACCCTGAACCCCCAAACCCTAAAATTCCCGAAGCTTCCAAGCCTCCAGCGAGGCCCAAGAACCCAGCCAGCCAGCCCCTCCGAGGCTGAGGCCCCTTGAGACAAGCCAGGGTTTAAGGGTTTAGGGTTTAGGGTTTAGGGTTTAGGGTTGAGGGTTTAGGGTTAAGGGTTGAGGGCTTGCGGTTTGGGGTTTAGGGCTTGGGGGGTTTGGGGTTTAGGGAGTTTAGGGTTTAGGGGTTTGGAGGGTTTAGGGTTTGGGGCTTGGGGTTTGGGGTTTAGGGAGTTTAGGGTTTAGGGGTTTGGAGGGTTTAGTGTTTGGGGCTTGGGGTTTGGGGTTGGGGGTTTAGGGTTTGGGGGGTTTTGGGTTTGGGATTTAGGGTTTAAAGGTTTAGGGTTTAGGGTTTAGGGAGTTTAGGGTTTAGGGAGTTTAGGGTTTAGGGCTTCGGGTTCAGGGGCTTTGGGTTTAGCGTTTAGGGGTTTTTTGACACTCACACTCGGACAAGCCTGGCTTTAGGGGGTTTAGGGTTTAGTGCTTGGGGTTTAGGGTGTAGGGTTTGGGGGTTAGGGGGTTTAGGGTTTAGGGCTTGGGGGGATCTAGGGTTTAGGGGGTTTAGGGTTTACTTGGGGGGGTTTAGGGTTTAGGGGGGTTTAGGGTTTGGGGGGTTTAGGGCTGGGGGGGTTAAGGGTTTAGGGGGTTTAGGGTTTAGGGTTTAGGGTTTTAGGGCTTAGGGCTTAGGGGGGTTTAGGGTTTTAGCGGGGTTTAGGGTGTAGGTTTAAAGTTTGAGGGTTTAGGGTTTTGGGTTTAGGGTTTAGGGTTTAGGAGGGTTTAGGGTTGAGGGTCTAGGGGGATACACTTCTCGATTTGTGCGTGGCATCCTTGCACAGGGGCCATGCTACTCTTCTCTGTATCGTTTCAACTTTATCGGAGGATTCCCTTCGGGTTTAGGGTTTCAGGGTTACTGAGGGGGTCCGTTGGTTTAAACAGTTTTTGGGCTTTTTGGTGCGTTGAAGGCTTAAAAGGGCTGGAACGCTTAGGGCTTGGGGGTTTGGGGATTCATGGGTTTTCCCCGGCATCATTTAGGATGTCACCTTTGATGCCTCTGAACCTCTTGCCAGGAAGCCCCTACGCCCATAATGATGGAGGTTGCTGATGGATCACCGCGCCGATGTACCTTTGAGCCCGAGACACCGCTTAAAACCTTCACTCCTCGACTGGTCCTGGTCCTTGAGGTGGTAATGTAGGGGCCTTAATAATTAGGTATAACCCTAAACCCTAAACCCTAAACCCTAAAACCCTAAACCGGTATAGTATACTATAATTACAATAAGGAACCCCCAAAATAGCATAGGAAATTATGACGGCCCCTATAGTACAGGAGGCTGAGTGCCAACACGGGCCTCCGTGGTCTGCTGCAATCTTCGTGGTCTGCAGTGGGCACCTCGGCGTGCTCCATAGCACCGGCGACCCAGTTAAAGGGACTTGTGGGGTCCTGCTGTCGTGTGCTGTATTTTGAGTAGAATGCCTGCAGCCATCTGCATCAGATAGTTGCACAGAAATGAACAGATCGGGGCGGATAGGACGGCTGATGTTTGGAAATCCAATGACCTCTAGCCCAAAAAAGGTTAACCTTTTAATTATAATAGGACTATATGCGCCCGATATGGTTAAAGGTTACCTACTCAGCCCCTAAGTCCTTCATACGACCAGGCCACTCCGGCGGAGTGCGTCGAAACGCCCGACGTGAGGGTACCGGCTTCGTGGGATCGCGTCGGAAATCGCCCTTTCTGTGGCCCAGGGCATGAGAAGGACAGGTTCCCCTTGCGCCATGGCCAGTGAAGGGCAGCGCCCTGAGAAGAGGATCAGTAACACCAATATTTGCTGTTATTCAACTTCTTCAACGGACCCTGTTCTGATATGCTTAAAAAACCAACTTAGATTATTACGGCTCTATGTTAGGGTCCTTGTTTCCGGAACGCCCATAGTGGTAAAGCTAGCTCTGTGGCGAGCTGCTTGCTTTCGGTCCCCAACTCCTGATTAACTCAGAAGTCATCAGACTGAACATGACATGCCTCAAACTCTTCAAGCCACTACTTTGAGCCACGCAGGAGGACGCAGTGCAAGGAAGATATATTGTAATGCAGAGGCCCCTACCCCAAATAATAGGATCCTTATTATAAGGACCCCCAAATAAGGTACCCCTAATTTTCGGAAAGTCCCATATTGTAATGCAGAGGCGCCTAAGCCCTTTTTGCAACTGGCTTGCAACGTCACTTAGGGGCCCTAAACCCTAAACCCTAAACGGTGTTGGAATGTTACGTGCTGGAAAGGAGCAGCCAGGCCAGCCAGGCCAGCCCAAATCTGTCTTGCCCTGCAGGTAACCATAAGGAATACTACGTTTATCAAGCGCGAACTTCGAGGTTGGAGGGGTTTAGGGTTTAGGGTTCAGGGTTTAGGGTATAAGGTTTAGGGTTTAGGGTTCAGGGTTCAGAGTTTAGGGTTTAGGGTTCAGGGTTTAGGGTTCAGGGTTCAGGGTTTAGGGTTCAGGGTTCAGGGTTTAGAAGTTGAGCGGCCAGAGTCCGTTCCACGAAGCTTTAAGTCTACGGCATCCTTCCGCTCATCTCATGAAGTCTTGGCTGGAGTTTCAGGGACATGCACGACCACAGTACGGACCGCCGTGGATCCATCTTATCAACTTTTCAAGAAATGCCATACCTCTGATATCCGTCGGAACTGCAAGTCGCAACAGCCTCAGATGCCCAAAGTAGCGAGGTCCCAGGCGCTGGTCGCCTTTGGCCCAAGATCACGGGATGGAGTTTGCGAAGTCTTCTCGACATGTCAGCTTCACCGAGTACTGCACAACGAGTCGAGGAGAAGGCGATGAACAAGGTCGTCGAGTCAGGGTTTAGGATTCAGGGTTTAAGGTTTAGGGTTTAGGGTCTAGGGTCTAGGGTTTAGGGTTTAGGACCTAGGGTTGCAGGGTTTAGGGTTTAGGGTTTGGGGTCTAGGGTTTAGGGTACAGATGCACGGTACCCGCCGCACATCCATGCATTTAGCTGAGTAGGAAGTAGGGAGCCCTGGCAGGCAGAAATGCAAGGACCCGGGGTTTAGGGTTTAGGGTAACCCCTAAACCCTAAACACCAAATCTAGGGGCCTTAATCATTGGAATAGGGTTTGGGGTATACTATACTCTAATAATAGGGAACCCACAAAACCCTATTCTAATTATTAAGGCCCCTACATTAGACCTTAGACTCGCAGACCGCCAGAGCCCTAAACGAGGGCATGCATTGCAGGAACTTGCCATGCTGTCCGGAGGGAACAGACACACGCATCGCTTCTGAAAGCGAACGATGGCTACATCTTGGTATATCCAAGTCATGATCCGACAAGGATTAGGGGCTCTGAGCTCTGTCGACTATTCCGCAGGATTGCCAACTTAGCTGGATAGCTTTGCAAAGGTCATGAAAGCCTTGGGGCCATGAAATTCGGCAACGTCAAGAACAAACCTGAAGGCTGAACGTTTGCATCCGGACCTTTAGCACACTCTGGCTCCTCTTTTTCCTGGCGCTCTTGCGGTGCCATGTGGCATCAACATCGAAACGTGTGCATAACATCCTCATGGAGCTTGAAGGAATGACGTGAAAGCCAGCGACTGAGACTGCTGCTGTTGCTCACCCTGCTTCCTCTCCAACTGCAGCAGCCACTACTAGTGTTACAAGTCTTACAGGAACTACAAGTACGGCTAGTGCTACTAAGATTTCAAATCTTACTAGGAAAAGAAATAGTACAAGTACAAGTACCAGTACTAGTTTTGGTACTAAGAGTAATAGATAGTAAGACTAGTAGTAGTAGTAGTAGTAGTAGTAGTAGTAGTAGTAGTAGTAGTGACATAAACTATGACTCTTCATCACGCTCGTCATTCAATAAGTTTAGTCATAACCAGCAGCCAAGGTACACTAGTTGAGGAGGCAATGGGCTTTCTAGATTCTAGGTATTATGATCCTTCACAGCTCCTTCAAATGTCCCAGCGAGTTAAAGTTCGCGGCGAACTTTATTGCCGAGCTGCCGATGCCATGTATTGTAGGGGCCCGATTCAAAAAAATGTGGGCTTGCGCTTTATAGAGTGTAGGGGTTCTTGGCGCTGAACCCCCCCCCCCTCGTCGGAACTGCATGTTTATAGTAATAATTTTTGATTTGACAACAAGAACTATAATGTTTTCCATCATAGCTATGATTGAAAAAATGAGAACTGCAAAGAAGACCCGGGATTTCCAGGTCCCCACCAAGCTCTCCGCCAGAGGCGCGGCACTCCTCGGAGGCGCTCAACTCACACTGCGGGAGACGAGGTTCGTGAGAGGAGCCCAATACCCCTTAAATGAGGAATAGACCCTTAATTCTAGGGGCCTTAACAATACCCTTTAAGTAAGGAATATACCCTGAAATTATAGGGGCCTTAATATTATGATTGTTATAACCCCTAAACCCTAAACCCTAAACATTTAAGGTCTATTCCTCGATTAAGGGGTATTGGGCTCTCTGGGTTCGCCAGAGGATCTCGTAGGCACTGTGGAGCCTCTCCCACAACCCCAAAACCCGGAGGGTTTAGGGCTTAAGCCCTAGGGTTTAGGGTTTAGGATTTGGGTTTGGGGTTTAGGGTTTAACATGTGGGTAGTTCTCTAAATTAGGGTCAATGGTGCCGTACTATATTGGGGACCCAGAAAGGGACCGGAATTTAGAGAACTACCCATATGCATCAGGACTACCCTAAGCCCAGCTTGCATGTCATACCTATGGCATTCGAGCGACTTGTAAGCTACGAACACACAAGCTCAAAATATACAGCCTGTCAGATGGGACGAGAAGGAAGACTGTGGCAGCTTATGGTGTGGAGTGTAGAGCTTAGGGTTGGGTCCGTACACAAACCAAAGGCATTGGACCTTGGACATTTCACATGGAAACCCGAAACCCTAAACCCTAAGCTGGGCTAAGGGTTTAGGGGGTTTAAAGCCCCTGCAGCCTGCAGCCCGAAATGCTAGGGTTTAGGGTTTAGGGTTTAGGGGTTTAGGGTTTAGGGTTTGGGGTTTAGGGTTTAGGGTTCACACTCTTCTTTGCAGTCCCTTTGCTTCCTATCGCACGCTGAGCTTCGGCGTTGCGCCCAGAAAACCCAACACTTGATGAAGAGCGCCCGTGCTCGGCGCAGAGCTAGACTCTTGACAGCTCTAGAAGGGATGTTCGAGCGAGACAGAATCTCAGTTTATGAACCGGGGCTATGTTGCTTGCCTCTCGAGGTGCCTACCGGCCTACCAGGCTTGAGTTGGATTCGAATCAACCCGTTTGAGGTTGAGTGCAGGGCCGTTTAGGGTTTAGGGCTTATAAGGTATTTTTTCAATTTGCTTTGGGAATATAAGGTTTAGGGTTTAAGGTTTAGGGCCTATGGAGCTTCTGTGCCAACAGCTGAAATCTCTACACGTCTAAATCATATGGCCTATGCCTGACTCGAGGCGTCTGCCTGCATGCCTGAGGTCCTCTGGTGCGTGAAAGTGAAAGGACTCACGATGTCGCACCGGTGAGTGCGGGGGAGTTCCTCCATACACCCCTAATCCTGAACAGATCCACACACCTCAAAGCTGGAACTTCAGGAACTGTGATACCCATGCGGGATTGGAGCCTCCTTCCACACTAACTCGAACTTAGTCTACGACCGTGCCCTGAAGAGGATCACGCTCCAAAGCAGGGACAGGCCAAGACCCCCTGGAGTCTCTTAAGGTGGCTGCTGACGATGCCCACTTCTTGTAGAGCCAAACGCAACACGGGATCCTATTACGAGGACCCTCCAGAAGAAATCCTGTAGCACCCTGCAAGTAGGGAACCTGTCAGTATGAGATCCTACTCATGCAAAACCAGGAGGGGTGTCGCAAAGCACTGCGGGAGAACCAGACCAGGACCGCTAAAACGCACAACCCTGGAGCATGAATTGAATGTTCGCTGAATCTGAACTGGTTACATTCACCGTTGCTGCTTCTGATACTGCTGCCACCACCACCACCACCGCCGCCACCGCCACCACCACCACCACCGCCGCCACCACCACCACCACGACCGACACCACGACCACGACCACTACGACTACGACTACGACGACGACGACTACTACTACCCTACCACTAGAACTACGGCTACGACTACGACGACGACAACGACTGCCACGACTACTACGACCACAACTACGTCGAAGACCACGACAACTGCGACCACGACCACCGCTACCGTGACGGCTACAAGTACCACAAGAAAGGGTTGACACCCTAAACCCTAACGGAACCTACAAACTCTTAGAGGGGATTTGGAGGTATTCCACGGTCTGAGAACTCCGGCTGGCAGCTTCCAGCAGATTTCACTTGATCGAGGTTTCTGCGCTTCAGGTGTAGAAGTTGTAAACTTGAAGGACATGGGATTGGGGCTGAGGGCGGCGAGAGGACGACGGCTTTACCGATCCTGGAGGAACAAGCTGTGCCGGGTTCTTGTCGGTCTGACAGATCGCACCTGTCAAGTGCATCGAAGCACCGGTGAAACGATAACTGCCACGTGAGTCCTGTTGAAGCAGGTAGTTCTACAAGTTGGGTCGTGCTTTGACTGTGGTGTCATCGAAAAGCATGTCGGAAGCGCGAAGCAAAGGGATTTTTCCTGTTGCGCTTTCGCTACGATGTATCTGACGGTGGTTCTGCGCGCGTCTCTACTCCATCCGCTTACCTCGATGTACATGGGCCTCACGCAGCGAACAACCCACGATGTCGCATCTGTGGGTTCGACGAGGCGTTTACTTCGAG